TTCAAACGCACGGACGGCCCAGATTCAATCAAAAACGAACGGCCCAGATTAAAACGAAACGAACGGCTGTGATCAAAAGGCAAGGGGTTATAAATAGAACCCCCACACCAGACCAAAAACCCTAGCCGCCAGCCGCTCGCCGGAGAAGACGAACCAGAGGCCGACCGCCGCCACCCGCCGCCACTCGCCGCCGCACCGGGGAAATTTCCGACCGCCGATCGAGGTAAATTTCATACCCCCGACTCGTTTTTCCCCACTGATTCCTCCTATGGCCAAATCGAAGCCGAAATCCCGGCCAAACGGCCGGAATACGCGGCCGAAGCCCAGCGGCGCCGCCGCGCCCCCTCTCGGTTTTTGCCTCCGACGAGGCCCTTCCCGGCCTCCGTTCGATGCAATTTTTATATCACCGTGATCACCATTCTTTTCTCTACAGGTTGACCGAAGCCAAATCACCAAAACACGAACTTCGCCGGAGAGTCGCCGTACCCGAGAGCGCCGCCGCCGGTAAGCTCCGTTTTTCCGTGATTTTTTGGCCCCCCGAGGGCCCTAGGGTTGTTTTCTGACAAGGACCAATGCGAGTGTGGCCGAATTCGGCCAAAAACGGCCGAAAACAGTCAACCCGAGGCGACTCGCCGCCGCCAGCGGCGGCGCCGTCGCCGGAGCACGGCGGAGCCGCCGTGCCGGAGTTGCGATTTGGGCCGAAAGAGGCCCTGGGCCTAATTTGGATTTTTTTTGGAACCCGTGCAGGTACTGTTAGCGTGTTTCAGTTCCCCGGGAAAAATTCAGGGGAAAATTAGGGACAGCCTGCAGGCGCACTGTGAATCGTATTCGGATCCCGAAAACAAGTAAGGACCCCTCACCCTATTTCCTATCACGGTATTAAAGTTCAAAATGATAAAACAGTATTTCTTGAATTAACGCATGTGTGAAATTGCTTAAGGTTGCTAATGGAGCCCGAGTCTAGTGTGATTGATGATTTACTGTTATTTGGCCTGTTTACAGCTTTAAATGCAAAATGAGGTTTGATGTGTTCATTTTACGAATTTGTGTGCATGTACTACGTTTTTATTAATTATGGGTTGAATGACTGAAAAACTGATACTGTATGTTGCCTGTTTGGTATGAATTACGATTTGCTTGTTTAAATGTGAATTGATGATGCTGATTGAGGAAAAGGAAAAATGAAAGATTGTGTAGTCTGATAATTGTATGATGGGGTCAGCCTGACTAGATATCCTGGGAGATGGTGGACGGACCGGGTCCGTAGGGAACCCTACCGGGATTGTGGTCTCACATGCCGGACGGGGTATGGAGATCTTATGGTTTTGGCGCCCATACCGGACGGGGTATGGGGACGGCCCGTTTCACCCTCATACCGGACGGGGTATTGAGGTTTATGGTTTTGGCGCCCATACCGGACGGGGTATGGGGACGGCCCGTTTCACCCTCATACCGGACGGGGTATTGAGGTTCATGGTTTTGGCGCCCATACCGGACGGGGTATGGGGACGGCCCTGGAAACTGATTATGAATGTCAAAGGTTAACGGGTAGCGGAACCCCTATGGACCCCCACGGATACTAGTAGGCTGGTAAATGAGAAAAAGATATGTTGTACAATGATTGAATTACAAGATACGTGATAAGTGTTATGTTTTACAGCTTAGATTATTCAATGATTATGATAATGTTATTGCTTTTCTCATATTGTTTTCATAAATTCCACCAAGGTAAGTGGATGGTAAAAGTTTTATTATTGATAAAAGGTTTTGTTGTTAATAAACGAGTTTATTGTAAATTATGCTCCATTGGTCTTTTTGTGGTTTTCTACCCACCTTTATCTCCGTGACGGTGAGATATCGTGATGTTCTTACTGGGCTAGTGTAGCTCACTCCTTAATTAACCATTTCAGATCAGGAAGACATGGTTCCCGAGCCCGTTCCGCAGGAGGACGACGAAGGGGATGCCTAGAGACTCTGTAGTCATACGCATAGTTTATTTTCGAGTTTTCTTTCTTAGTTAGTTTAACCTTTTATATTTTAAGTACGTTTGTTTGGTTTTTCGTGTAAGGGATGTTAACTGAAATTTTGATCTCGCTTCCGCATTCGATATATTTAAATACTCATTTCATTTTTATATTTTCCGGGGTCGTTACAGCTAATGTTGCTTATATGCAAAAGAAAATTGCATAGTTACAGGTGTTGTTGAAACAGCAGAACTGGCCACATGCTCCACAAGCTCAATGTGCACGTTAACAATTTTGGCAAAGATAGAACCAGCAGTATTTACAGGATCCAATAGCGAAAACCATTGACATTTACAGCGTCAAAGTGCAAGAGAACCACGCTATCATATTCTACAATCACATCATAAAAAGAATTGAGCCCAAGATATTATATGTAGATGAAGATACCTTAGGAACTGGAGGTGGCTTCTTGCTGCATGCTTTTGTCAGGTCTTTACAAAGATAATTCAGCAAAGAATCAACATCAGGTTGGGATGTATATATATATTCAGCAACATCAGTATCCGAATACCCAATCACCTGCAAAGTAGTACAAACAGATCATACACGCTACATCCTACATTCAAGTGCTTTCAATCAACTAACAAGAAGATATGCTCACCTCCTGACATGCCCGCTCAATTGTCTTGCACTCGGAATTACAGTTTCCTTCAACATCTTGTTCAATCAACTGAAAATAAAAGGAAACTTACATAAATCTTAGCTTAAAATGGTTTGAGAAAACAAAGAAGAAGAGTGAGAAGATAAGATCCTTCCTGCTAAGCTGTAAAAATTGAACTTCTCTCTTACCTCCAACTTATCCCCTTTCTCTACTACATCAATCCGAAGAATCCAATCAGCTTCCTCTTTCTTCAAATTGCAAACATTCTCCGCAATCTCAATGATTTGATACTCTGAGATCTAAAATTTCCCCAAAAAGCCACAGAACACAAAACTCACGATCACGTCAACAATCCACCATTTAGAAAAAAAAAAAAAAAACAGAATGAAGACATTAACATAAAAAACCAAGATGATGAAATCACCTTCTTAGGTGAGATCTGTGCCTGCTTCTTCTGTACTTGTTGGTGCAACTGCGACGCAAGCTTCTCACAGACCTGGCACTTGATGTACGGTATGTCTTCTTTTCTAGCTCCCGCCACGGGTTTCTGGACACTCTCCGAGACTGGTAAACCTGACCACCCGACAAACAACATCGATACTACAACAAGTATTTGATTAACATTCGCCATAACCCTCTGTCTCTCTCTGTATCGAAAGCACGAAGCTTTATCGGATACTAACAGAGAGAATCGATGAAATGGAGGTAAAAACAGAACAAGGAGTTTTCTTTCTATTGAGGATTTTCGCTTCGTTCATCACCAAACAGTTCCTGTTGTAAAGAGCTTTTCAGCGATGACCATTGTTGACAAAGCACCTACGTGTTTCAAGAAATCTGATTGGTTGATGATCGGAGTTAAGCAGATCTTTTTAACACGTAACCCAGATTTCATCAACACCGTTTAACATTTCATCATGTGGGACCCACGGAGTCAAAGTCGACCCCTAGAAACTGTACAAACGGGAAGCTGACTAACAGGAGGGACAGGAGAAAACCCCTTCTAAAACCCTAACGAGCATTCACCCCTCCATCTGCGGCTTGAAAAGATCCTTAGGGTTTATTGTCGTTCAACTTTTGGAGTTCCTGCTTCTACCGTTTCATATAAGTAATTTCACGTTGTTTCTTCTATGGATTTGTCTGTAATGGTAACTGCAGGCCTTCCTAAACAGGATGCTCTTATGGGCGACAATTACCATATCACACTAAACCAATCAATGCAGAATCTCTTGGGTGAAATTCACAGAGGAAGCCAGAATTTTTCTCATTTAATTAACATATTCTACCAATTGATGCAAGCGAAGATCGACCCACCTCTCGAATCTATCTGGTTTTACTCTGCTTTGTCGTTTTGCAGCCATAGATCCCCAGACGAAGATACTCTGAATCGAATATCGGAAACAAAAGGCCTTTTTCATTTGATATCCACATGTTCGGGTTCGTGTAATCCAATAAAGAGCGTTGCATTGCTTGCTCCTGTTGTTCTCCATTTGTACAAGTTAGTCCTTGAATTACAAGGAAAGAATTTGAGCTCAAAGAGAGAGCGGAAAGCAATGAGAGAGGCTAAGTCTTTAATTGAAGGGATTCTTGGTTGTATAAGCTTGTGCGGTAATATGAAGTTGACTGAGGGAAAAACTGGTGCTGATTTGAGTTTGATTATGCCGGTAGCGGACTTGGTTCGCGTTTGGACGGAAGGAAATGAGGGACTAGAATCCTTTTTTCCTCTGGTGAGCGGCAAAATTCATAGCAAGATTAGTGGGGATGATTGTGATGTGAATTACTTGGCCGGAGCGGTTATCTTGGAGGCTTTTTTGTTGAAATTGTGCTTGGATTTTCGTGGTGAAGTTGCTAGAACTTATTTGGAGGAGTTGAAAAGCTGGGCTGTTGGATCCATAACTGGCTTCCGAAACTTATATTTCTTTGGTTAGTGCCTCTTTTGCATTGCGGATTATTTATTACTCTGACCAGCCCTTTTATCATTTCTTTCTCTGATCTTTAATGTTTATGAGATGGCTCCGAATTCTTGTATTGCTTGAATTATATGTTGAATGTGAATTTGCATGTGTCGCATACCACTTCAATGGCATTGACTCTTTTGCTTCATTTTTGAGTTGCTTACATTCTACTTCCCATTTCCTGTTTTCCTTTTTTTTCTTGCTGCCCAGATATACTTGTGAGCATGCTCCTGGAGTCGTCTTTGCCTGTGACTTCCCTTTTGGTTGGTATATGTTTCTACATACTCTAATTTATTAATGTTTAATGTCTTAGTTGGTATTATTTTTTTTTCGATTTGTGCATTTGTGTAAGTAGCTTAGATACTAAATGTGCATCTCTTGATGTTCCCTTCTCTGTGGATGGATCATTTTCTATTTGCTGCTCTTGCGCATGCTTTCTTGTGCACACACGACAGTACTTACCAACAACCATCGTATCATTTTAGGAAGTGTGGACAAATGTAAAACATATACTAGGATAAAAATTTTAGAATTCTTGTAATTGAAACAAATTGTACGGTTAAGTCAAAACCTAGGTCATATGTTTAATTCAATCCCGAGCCATTACATATTAAATGTTCTCCTCATCCTTACCTCAAAGGAGACAACTTAGAGAACCTTATAGATAGATGGTTTTCTTCTTGTAATACTTTTGTACTTGGACGGGCACCCCTGGTGCTTTGTGAACAACTTTCTCTTTTTCCTTTAAAAGAAAATATAGTATGGTAAGTACAACCCCTGTGGTTTTTATATGGATTTTATTAAGCAAAATTGAGAACTAATCAAGAAAAATATATTTGCGCTTTTCAAACAATTCCGTGAAACTTTGTCATTGTTTCCAGTCTGAATCCCACTTTCTTAGTTTTCTTTCCAAAATTTGCAAGGACTCCAAACATAAAACAGTTAAGACCTATAAGCTTGGTAAAAAATATTATAGATTCATTGCAAAAATCCTAGTGGGGAGATTAGGTAAGGTTGTGGAAAGGGTAGTTGGCGAGTGGTAACATACATATATAGAGGGAAGACAAATCTTGAATGCAGCATTAATAGCAAATGAAGTTTAGACGGTTCTCTAACAAGTGGCAAGGAAGGGGTGTTATGCAAACTTGGTGTGGAGAAGGTGTACGACCACGTATCATTGAGATTATCTCTTTTACATGCGAAAAAGGTTGGCTTTTGGTCCTAGTTGTGTTCATGGATGAAGACTTGCGCCACCAATACCTGCTTTGTCAATATGGTTAATGGTGGTTCCTCAGGTCTTTTCGAGGCATCTAGGGATCTTGAACAGGGATATCCTCTATCTTCTCTACTTTGTATAAATGTAATGGGGGCACTAAACATATTGATCTGCAACTCCAGAGAAAATTAGTTTTCTAGAGGTCTAGTGGTTTGAAAATGAAAAGGTAGAACTCATTTGTCTTTGGCAAATGATATACTACTGTTTTATGAGCCAGATCCATAGTCAATGTTAAGAATAAGAAGCCTTCTTGTTTATCCAGATTCAATTGGTACCCGGACTCAAGATCAATATGGCCAAGACTGAATTGATACCGATTGGTGAAGGGAGAAATCCAGAACTTCATGCCGATACTTTGGGTGCAAATTGGCTTCTCTACCTATAAAGTATTTGAGTCTACTTCTCGGTGTCAAATTCAAAGATGTCTATGTATGGACTCCAATAGTCAAAAGATTTGAAGCTAGGCTTACAGGGAGGGCGAGGAATTACCTTTCAAATGGTGAAATATTAGCACTTTTAAAAAGTACTCTGGCAAGTATCTCAATCTATTATTCATCACTTTTGTCTATTTTGGCAAGTGTGTTGAAGAGATTGGAGGCGATCCAGAGATGTTTTCTATGAGGGAATTTGGGTGAGGAAAGAAGGTTTCACTTGGTGGCACGACATGCAGTTAAAACTTCATTCAAGGATAGAGGCCCTCAGATCTAGTCAATTGTTGAATCCAACAGAGCACTAGAAGGAAAGTGGTTGTGGAGATTATGGAGCAAAGCAGTCCTTGAAGAAGAGTGATCAAATCAAAATTCGGAACAAAAAATAAAGAGTGGGATTCTAAAAGACCCAAATGGTTGTATGGGGTGAGTTTGTGGAAGAATATTACAATGGCAATAAAGGATTTTTAGGGGTTTATTATATGGAAGATTGGTTCCGGGTGAAGGATGAGTTTTTAGTTAAACAAATGGTGTGGAGATAGAATTACTAAACAATGAAGCAACAGTGGCAGAATCTTTCTCAGATGATGGGGTCATTGGATCTTGGTGGTGGATTTGGTTAGAAGCCTAAATGATTGGGAAATAAATGGAATCATCAATCTAATCCAATTTTCCCTAAGCAAGAAGCACCAAAGGAAGTCTTGGCTAAGTTATTCTGGGAACTCAATTCAGAAGGGGCATGTTCAGCAAAATCGTACCATCTCTATTTAGCAAAGATCGAAGTGAGTTCAGGTGAACTTTCCATGAAAACTGATTTTGAAAATTAAAGCTTCACAAAGAGTGGTCTTTTTTGCATAGGAGACAACAAGAGGTTGTGTCTTAGCTTTGGATAATTTCACAAAAAAATGAGTAGTCTAGGTGAACAGGTATTACTTGTGTAGGAATGATGTGGAGAGAGCTGACCATCTTCTTCTATGGTGTCCTTTCACTTCTCGGCTTTCCTCCATACATATGGTCTTTTGAGAGTTAATTGGAAAATGGCTGTGTTCAGTGAGAGGGGATATTTGGGTTTGGAGAGGTTTCCATGGGGATAAATCATTCAAGGATAGTGCAAGCCTTATCCCTTTGGCAGACTCTATGGACTATTTGCAATGAAAGAAATAAAACGACTTTGGAGGATATAGAATTTTTTGATAGAGTCAAGAATACTTGGTTCCAACTTGAATTTTTTAATAAGGGTCATCCTCTGTACTCTAATGAGGATTTACATATGATAGAATTGTAAAGCTTGCTTACACGGGTTGCATCTTGTTGCTGCCTTTAATACTATATTTTTTTATTAAAGAAAAATCTTGAATAGATTATGTACAATAATGTAAGCCCTAAGTCAGGTCTTTTGATGGCCTTCCTCTTGGCCTTTTTACATCTCTTAAGTGCTGTAACTGGGTCATTTTCTTTTTTTCGTTTATATTTTCTACAATTTAGCTTGCCCAAAGAATCTATCATTTTTTCTTAGTAGTGTTTCTACGAGTTCCCCATAATCTTTTTGTTAACAAAGGAAGCTTGACTTATCATCTATAATAAGCAGTTCATTGATGGTTTATCTTCAAAATAAATTTGAACCCATGCAAAATCTATATGCAGGGCTCTGAAAATGTTGTTCAGCTAAAGAAAGTTTTATATGATGCTGTTATATTGGTGGAATACTCGTTCCTCAATCCTAAGATGGATATCAACCAACCAGTTGAATTCATGAAAGATCTTGCCATCAAAAGATTGATTATTACTCAGGAAGGCATCAAGTGTGCCAGGTAATGAGTAAATGTATGTTTAGGTCAGAAGTTTAAAATTAAATGCACATACTCATTATTTAGTTTGCTGCAGGGAGGATGGGGATCAGAAGCGAGCTCTCTCTTATACAAGTTCTTTCTCCAATTCCCGCCTATCTTCCCAGCTAATGAAATGGTTCCAAACTGGAGAAAGTTGGAAAAACGGATCATCGCCTAAAGCTTTTATACGTAAGTTGCTTATGTTCATTTTTGTCTCACATTACATCTAAAATTTCTGGGGCAGTAAATTATGACTGACCGCTGCTATACTGCCATTACCTAGAGTGGTTACTTGACCTCGAGAGACAAAGTATAAAAGTATTTGGAGATAGCCTCCTGAAACACCATGCCAGATTAGCGATTGATAATTCCAGAGCAGATTATAAGCAGAAATTATCTAATGGCGAGGTGAAGGAAATAGATGCTGATATTCTCTTCTACATTGATGACGAAGGAGAAGGGACAGATAGAGAGGAGGATGAAACGCGGAGTGAAACAATTAGTAGTGCATTTATAACTGCTGCTCGCTCAATGAAGTGGAAAGAAAATAAAAGGAGAAAACGTGAAGAAACAGGAGGTGCCGAAAAGAAGGAGAGAGTAAAGTATGATCTTGGTTATGGTTATGATACACCCAGTGGGAGGTTCTCAGATGACCCGAATAGTGAGAGCGAAGTTGATGATCCAGTTTCGGACTGACATGGAAAGAGAAGGGAAGGTAAGAAACTTCTGCTGCTGAATGTGTAGAGAGTGTTAGTATGGATCAGATCATTTTGATCAAGTGGACTGTATCTGGTGATCTTGTTATCATCATTGTTCTTTAAAGCAACGACCTCAGCTGCCTATAAATTCTTAAATTTATTTGAAAATTTTGCAATTAATCTCAGAAAATTTATTTTTTCAAACAGTATTAGTTTTAGAATCTTTGACTTCTGAAAGGGAGTTTGTGAGGCATCTTTAGACGTTGAATTTTAGGCCCTACTGAGTTTACATATATATATATCTATACATATATGTGTATACATATCTATTATCAGACTATTACTAATAAAAAAAATAAGATAAACATGAAAAAGTAAATATTTTATAATTTGTATGTTCATACAAGTAAAGAAGGAATAAGTAAGAAAGGTAATATTTTAGTTAATAAAAAAATCATATTTTTATTACTTAAAAAATAATGAAATACTTGCAATTACATATATGTTATTTTATTTCATATTTTCTTATATGGAAAATTTGATTTTATTGTGATTTAAAAAAAAAAAAAAAAAACTCCCCAATTTTATTTTTCAAATAAGAATATATTTTAAAAGGAATATGCTTTTGGATTCCAGATGTTCCTTTCTAACTTTGAAAATTTTAATTTAATTTTAGTTTAATTTCCATCAAATTTAACACGATTTTCACACTTCAATTATTTGTTATAAAAATATCAATAAAATCATTAATTTATTTTTTAAATTATAATTTATTATTTTTCTACATTTTTGTTCCTAAACTTATAAAAATATTCCAAAACATAATTTTTTTTACTAATAGAAATAACAAAAAAAAAAAATTATACATTATTTAAATAACATAATATAATATTTTTATTTATAATTGAGAATTAAAAATTAAATCTTTGTACCAAAAATATTCTATTGTCATACACTTAAAAAAAATTTATTTATTTATTTACTTACTTATATTAATATTTAATTATTATAACTTCTAAATTCGATTAAAAATAAAATAAAATAATATTTTTCCCACTAAAACTTTTATAAATTTCTAAAAATATATTACTAGAAAAAAAAAATTTAAAAAAAATAGTAAATTTTAAATATAAGATACTAAATAGTTTAGAGGCTAAAATATAAATTTATATGTAGACGAAAATTGAGTCATACCGACGGCAAGCTTGCGAAATGTGCCAACAAATGTTGTAGCTTTGAAGGCCCGGACATGGGCATGGCACGTCAATGTCCCTAAAAAAGAATAAAAAGGACGCTGGGCCCCACTCCTAGAGAGAATCCAATGACTGACGTACACATAGCACCGGGTCCCACTTATTTCGTGATAGGACCCATTGCCTACTTCATTTCACACCAAGAAAATAAAACACCCACCAATCATCGTTTACCTTTGGTCAACACCTAAAATTTATTTTATGAAATTAAAAAATCATTCGTCAATCATCGTCATTCCCTTTCCAAAAAATAATTAAAAAAGAAAATTACGATGATCCGTATCTACCGACACTCTATACGACGTCGTAAGGCGATTGTTTTTTTGTTTTTAGTTCTTTCTGGAAGCCGTTACTCCGTTAATTTGTTATTTTGACGTCGGTTAAAAATATTTTGACAACCCTTCGGCGGAGGTTAACGGCGTGTCGTGTTGTTTTAGTTTATGGAAAGTAATGTGATTTTCCTAATCAAGATAAAAATATTAATTTAATTATTTTATAAAAAAAAAAAAAATGAGAGAGAGAGAGAGACAGAGTTTACAGAGAGAAAGAATCGCTTGGTATATAAGCGAAAGAAGGCAAAAGAAAAAGGCGTATATTTCTCGGAGGAGGGAGGAGGGAGGAGGGAGGAGGGAGGAGGGAGAGAGAGAAAGAGAGAGAGATACTGAGGGAGAGATTTTGGGAGTTAAAAGGGGGGCGAAGAAGCTTCCTATTGTTTTGGAGATACAGAGCCACGGCCATGGCAGACTCCAACGACACCGTTTCTCTCGACATGGAGAAGATCTATCTCGGTGGAAAGGTTCCATTTCTGAATACGCTCACCTTCAATTCTCTATCTTCTGAGTTTTTTTTTTTTTTTTTTTTTGCTTTTCGTTTCGTTTCAACTTCTGCTTGGTAGTTACCGAATTTTTAAATGCTTTATTTATTCCGCCTTTTTCTTTTTGAGTTTTGGCGAACGAGTAACGTTATGTTCTGCTGGGTTCTTGAATTATTGGTTTGTGCATTGCGTGAAAACGAGGAATTTTTTTTTCTTCAAAAGAAAAATTAACTTCGGCTCTTTATTGCGAGTTGGGGCCTAGTCCAAGAGAGCGTATAAATCACGAGTGTGTTTGTTTCATTAATTTTGGAGTAGTCATGGTGGGTTAGCATTAACTCTCTAGTCCTTTTTTAATTGACTTCGGAATAGCTCAATTTGGGTGCATTTGAATTGGAGAGGGTGATTCCCAGATCTATGAATTTTTTTTTTTTTTTTGCTTAATGCTTTTGGGTTGGTTCTGACCGATAAATAGCATGATTCTTCCTTATAAGGTCTCCAATCGTCTTCTCTGTTTTTACCTGTAAATCATGTTGATTGTAAGTTCTGGATGCCATCGGCTTCTTCCTTGCAGTCTCCTTGTTTTTTTTTTTTAATCATTTTTTGCTTTTCATGAATTGTTTATTCTAAACTTGTTAAAATGTGCATTCTGCGATGAAGTGTTACACGTTTTGGTTTTTTCTTTTTTGTTTGATTATGAAATGATCATTTTCTTTAATTGTAGGAACTGGGTGTTGGGGTTTTGATACTCTTATTTTTTATTAGTAGTAGTTGTTATTGAAGTATATTTTATTTGGGTTGTGGATTGAGGAGATTCCTTCCTTGTATGATGTATTTTATGCCAAAGAAGTTGGATCTTTGGGTGAACATAATTATACCTTCGTTTCATTCAAAGTTGTTGCAGTCCATTGAAGAAATCTTTATGCTTTCTGTTGTCTCTCCTCTTTTTGTTTTTTTAATATTATATTCAGATGCCTAGCTGTTAACTTTATTTTGTTTCCTTCATTCTTTATGGCCATTAGTTCTGTCTGCCATCAATATCTTCTCTTAACATCAGAGATGTTGAGTTTCTCTTTTAACCTGTTCATCATTTTTTTAAGGATACAATCATTGATTTTAGGGAGCACTTACTTTATCATGTAACCCTTTTTGCAAAAGTTATATTAGTATGATTAAGGAAGGCGATTAGATTTCCTACTGGAAAGAGTTATTTGAGATCGGCACATGGGAAGCCCTTATCAGGAATAATTTTTTTCCAGACAAATTCCGCCTTTAAAGAAAACAAATGATTACGCTATCGTCTTTGAAGGCAGTCCTCCTCATACATATCAAATTGGCTAGGAATTATGGTAGTGAAAATTTGCATAATGCATCTCTGCTAAACTCATTTATGAAACTCAGATTTACCTGTTGGTATGTTTGCCTCTTACCCTTTTCTTCAATGTATTTGATGAGTCATTATTAAAATCCTTTCAGGAACATCATGTACAAACAGGCCGTGGTTCTATCTCTGTTATCGTCTATGGAGACCAAGAGAAGCCAGCACTGGTTACTTATCCTGATCTTGCCCTAAATCGTAAGTGCAGAGAGTCAAATCAATGTAGCTTTATATGCAGTTATTTTTATGTTCGATTTTCATGATATCTTCTGCATACTGCTGCCTTAATTGATGGACAAATTTGTAGATGCATGTTTGCATGAAAAGTTTATTGTCTTCATGTGGTTAGTCACTATTGCTTTTTGTGCTAATCACTTATGGATCAATATTTTCTAAAGGTTTTTGACTGGTAAAAGCACGTAATTTTGAAAAAAGTTGACCTGCCTCTAATTTGTGTTTCTATTTGATTGTCGACATATTCTGCTACTGTATCTTGTTGTGCTACTATTTTTATTCATGAATTGGTGGTTGAAACCAATGCTCAGAAGTTTCTTTTCATCCACTCATTATATACATTGCTGACATGCAATATAACATTGATATTTTTCTTTTTTTTGCCAATTTGTTAATCAGATGTGTCTTGTTTCCAAGGATTATTCTTCTGTCCGGAAGCAGCATCATTGTTGCTCCATAACTTCTGCATTTACCATATTAGCCCGCCTGGGCATGAGGTCCGTAGACTGGTTATTGGAGTGTGTTTACATTATTCTTTTTTTAATTCCTAGACTGTTTCATTTAGTGATACACGCGACATGACTTGCTAACAAGTGGGATGCTATTACTCACGTAGTTTCTTTTCTGGCACTTTCACAAGAGTTCTTGCAGTTGGGAGCCGGTCAGGTTTGTCCCGATGATCCTGTACCTTCTGTTGATGACTTAGCAGATCAGATCCTTGAGGTTCTCAATTTCTTTGGGTAATTAAAATCCAAAATCTCATGGTATTTAGCCCTTGGCTGAGTATTCATAGCATGTCTGTTACTTAAGGCTCCTGCTGGATCTGCTTGTAACTTTTGGCTCTTAATTGAGAGAAGGAAAAGAAGTAACCTTCATTTTCAGGATTCAGATAATTTTTCATTTGTTTATTGCTGGTTGAAACCCCGCTGGCAATATTTTGATGGCATTAATTATTTCCTATCCAGGCTTGGTGCAGTTATGTGCATGGGAGTGACAGCGGGTGCTTACATCCTTACCTTATTTGCTGTATGTTCCCGTTTGGAAATCATGTAATAGACATGCTTTAATTGAGATTCTTTTATTTAGTATTTTTTTCTTTATCTGCAGATGAAGTATAGAGAACGGGTTCTTGGTCTAATACTTGTATCCCCTCTATGCAAAGCACCCTCTTGGACTGAATGGGTTTATAACAAGGTTCCTTATCTTCAGAATTCAATTGACATCATGGTGGCCATTATCATGGATCTTACTATGAATATTACTTGTGTTCTACAGGTGATGTCAAATTTATTATATTTCTATGGTATGTGCGGATTGCTTAAAGAATTTTTGCTTCAGCGGTACTTCAGCAAGGTAAACTGGAATATTTTTTTCTCGCCATATCTGTTTACTTTCTATTCTAATGTGTTTTTACTTACCGGGTAGAGTGATGAATTGCCATTAATTGGAGCAGGAAGTTCGAGGTAATTCTGAAGTTCCAGAGTCAGATATTGTGCAAGCATGCAGAAAAGTTAGTTGCCAACACTTCTGCTTATTTAGCATTTATCCATGTGTTTTCCTAGAATTCTCATATGCTAGAATCTGACATTCTTCCCCTTCTTAAAAAGTGGTTTGTTTTAATGATGAGATCTGTTTCATTCCTGTGACATGTTTATTTCAGTTGCTGGAAGAGAGGCAGAGCGTAAACGTTATGCGGTTTCTGCAGGCAATCAATAGGTAGAGACTGATGACATTGCCATTTTATGATGCCTTTTGTGGGTGTTTTGATTCTTTTATAAGAATTTTCTAAAGTGTCACAAACAAATTCCAACCTGCAGGAGACCTGACATTTCCAGCGGGTTGAAGAGCTTAAGATGTCGCACGCTAATATTTGTGGGGGATCACTCTCCTTTTCATTCTGAGGCTATTTATATGACCTCAAAGTTGGACAGAAGATATAGTGCCCTAGTTGAGGTATAACAAAATAGACTTGTAAGAAATGATAGGTAGAAGAGACATGGGGTATGTAAGTTCATGTATTGGCAAATGTTTTTGATGAGGGGATGTGTTGGTGCAGGTCCAGGCTTGTGGATCAATGGTGACAGAGGAGCAGCCACATGCAATGTTGATACCAATGGAGTACTTCTTCATGGGTTATGGGTTATACAGACCATGCCAGTTCAGTGATAGCCCAAGGAGCCCACTCAGCCCCTCTTGCATCTCCCCGGAGCTTCTCTCGCCGGAAAGCATGGGATTGAAGCTAAAACCAATAAAGACTCGAATCTCGCTAGAAGTTTGAATTTGTCTTTTGTGAAATTTTGTTCATCTTCTTGTTTTTTTGTTCCTTGAATTGGTTAAAATGTAGAAGGAAGATGGGGAGGGGTTTGTAGATATATATAATAGGGAGATGACTTGCATTCATTCTTTTGTAGACAGTCATAAAAGAGAGTCATCTGAGCTCCTTGTGTAAATTCTAAAGAGGACTGAGATTTATTTGTGGTTATCAACAACAAATAACAGATTTGAACTCTCCATTTATTCAAAATTCTTTATGACTATTTCATCTTCTCAAGCTTAACCCAGGATCATTGTTACTATTTTGTGTATTTACATTAACAACTTTATATATATAGATATAGGTATTAGTAATATAATTTAATCAAAATTTTAAAACTTATTAAAGCACAAACAAAAATCCGGTGATTAAATAATTATCAAATCAAAGAGGGAAAAAATAAAAATAAAAAAGCACGAAAACTAGAAAGAAACACGTGGCAGAGACCCACAGGAGACAGTGATCTATAAATCTAACAGCCTGTCTGCCAACCAAAGTTCTCCAACGCAGTATCCTCACATTCAAGTGGTGGCGCCAGGAGACTTCTTTCCTGGTCCCCTGGAAGCGCCTCCCGCAGCCTTCGACATGGCGCGAATCGTCGTCATCTTTGACTTTGACCGGACAATAATCGACGGAGACAGCGACAAATGGGTGGTCACGGAGATGGGCCTCACCCAACTCTTCCATCAGCTTTACTCTACTCTGCCCTGGACTGCTCTTGTAGTCTGTTCTCTCTCACTCTTACCTTGCATTAACATTTTCAATTTTGCCTAATTCGTTCATCATGTTCATTTAGTTTTTGTTCTATTTTTACTTTTAGTTCTCGTTTTAGTTTTGAGTAGCGTAAATACAAACTGATTTGCTGATTTTGTTTGAGTTATGTCAAGTCATCATTCAACACAATGAAATTTCAAGTTTAATTTCTAATCATGTATGTCAAGACTGTAAGGAAATTACAAGTAGTAATTGATTGGCAATTGAAGGAGAAGGAGAAATGAAATCAAGAAAATCTAAATAGTTCTCTCGCTTGCTCTCCTTTTTTTTTTTTGCTTGTTTGTTGATTAGAAATCGTGGGTATGTTTATAGGTTAATGACTGAAAAGGGGTTTCTACATGAGTTTATTACAACGCTATATTTAATAGTTAATGGGTTTTATTTCAGTTAAACTTCTCATCTTATTTTTACTTTTTTTCTTGGCGTGTTAAAAAAGGTTTTGCATATGAAATTATTCAAATAAGTAATTGGATTTTTGCTTGATGTTTTTCCCCCTTAAATTTCTGAAGGATAGGATGTTGAAAGAGCTGCATTCGCAAGGGAAAACAGCTGAGGATGTTGCAGAGTGCTTAAAACGGGTCTACATGGATCCTAGAATCATTGCAGCCATAAAATTGGCTCATTCTCTGGGGTAACATCTCGTTTTCGACATGTTTCTTGTATTGTCCAATATTTGTTCTGATGTAGTTTGTCTTTGCTGTCTGACTGAGAAGTGATAATTGTTTGATTAACATTTTTAGATGTGATTTAAAGATAGTGAGCGATGCCAATCAGTTTTTCATTGAGAAGATTTTGGAACATCACGGTTTGTTGGGCTTCTTCTCAGAGATCAATACAAATTCGAGCTTGGTAGCTGAAGAAGGAAGGCTTATGGTCTTCCCGTACCATGATCCAACTTTACCTCCTCATGGTTGCAATCTATGTCCTTCAAACCTGTGCAAGGTAATATGAGTACCTCATTTTAAAGTTTCTTTTTTTATTTATCTTTCAGTCTCCTTTATGCTTTTCCTGTCGACCACATTATCAAATCTTGGTTGATGGCTTCCCAACGATTGATCATTTGGTTGCTGTCGTTAACCAATTTTTATGTTTGTTTTTGTAAAGATTATAAAAAATGGTTTTGACTTTTGTTTTATAGTTTGAGTTATTGTTTCCTATATGTCTATTAGTTTTTAGCTACACGTGCTACCATTTCTATTATAGTGGTGGGTATTAACAATTTACTAATTACGTTTCAATGGTTGCCAAATCTAATGGGCTATCAATGAGTAATCAATTTGTGGCCGGTAACCATTTGTAAAAGATCAGAAAAAGTGGATTTTTGTTTTGTTTGAGTTAGCTGCCTACATCCTGAATGCAGTGTTCAGCCGTAGGTACTACCAAATCTAATCCATTTGCCCACTAGCCTTGATTTGCAAATTTCATTCTCACTAATTACTTATGAAACTTTAGCAAAGATCAGAGGTTAGATACTTGTGTTAAATTTCTGGTAATCTCAGTGGAAGACATTTCCGAAACTGTGAAGAAGCAGCAGTAGACAGGAGGATGATAGCTAATATTAAAGGGGATGATAGTATTTGCTTCTGCTGTGTCTTGAGTTTGGTTGTTTGTTTTTTTTTTTCCTCTTTCATGCTTCCATCTTTTCCTCTGCATAGAATGTGTTATTATAATGACCTTCTGTCTCAGGGTCTAGTACTTGATCGAATACGTGCTTCTGCTCCTGATAATCGGACACAAAAATTTATTTACCTTGGAGATGGGGGAGGTGATTACTGCCCCACTTTGAAGCTGCAAGATGGTGATTATGTGATGCCAAGAAAGAATTATCCTTTGTGGCGCCGGATTTGCAGAAATCCTGTTCTTGTTAAGGCGGAAGTCCACGAATGGAGCAACGGAAATGAGCTCGAGAGGGTCCTAATCCAACTAATCAACAAAATTCATAGAAGTGCAAGTTAACAATGGAAGCTCCAGTTCTAACTCATCTCAACACGACTCTTTTCTATTAATGGCTGAAAATTATCATTATTCCTAGAATTTCTGTGTCTGGTTTTGTACCACCAAAAGCTATTTTTCTGTTCAAAACAATTACTTTATGAAATAAAAATATAATGAAAGAAGAGAATGTTACAGTTACTACCATGTTCTTTTACAAATGTAAAATTACTATCATCCTGTAATGTTAATTAAAATAATGACAGCCCTATTTGCCAGTTTCTCAAACAGGTTTTCTCCCAGAAATTTATTATAAAGAATGCAAATATAAATTAATATTCAATTATTATAATCTTGTTTATTACCAACATGGTAGTTTAGTAGTTAAAATTCTAATACTCCATTTGAAATTTTACCGAAAATGTGAAAGATATTCATAATTTTTATGACTGTATTATGCATTAACGTTGACTAATATATAATATTTAATTTAAAAAATTTAAAACTTTACTCAATAATATATTAATAAATTATGCTAATCAAGATGGATTTTGTCCCATCGAGTTATTACAATTTAGATTAAAAGAAAATATTATGTCACAATTAAATTTTTTTAATTAAAATAAATTAATGTCAGATTTAATTTCTTTATATTTAAAAAAAAATAAAAACTTTAATCTCGTCAAACTTAATAATTCAATCTAATACTATTAGATTTTTATTTTTATATATATTTTATTTTATTTGATTTTATTAGAATTTATCAAACACCTAAAAAATTATTAACAAATAATAAATCAAGTATTATATTTATGTAACATAAATTTTTTTTTGATTAAATTAAAATGCAATAAATTATAGAGATAAAACTGAGAATAATTTCCACAAATAGAGGCACCGTATTTTTATTTGGGTAATAAAAAATATATATAAATAAATATATATATATACCGCCGTACTGATACCCACCATGAAAGAAAAGTTAGGTCTGAAATTCAATGAACTGACTTGATTGGAAATTTTGAAGATGCTCCTCCATCCAAAGCTAAAAAAAAAAAAAAATTAAAAATAAAACAAAAATTATTTTTTACTAATTTACAGTGCGGTAATAAGTTCCTTTTTACTGGGATTAATTAATTTATAATCTTAATTAATTATGTTTTTAATTGATCAATTAATCTATAATTGGTCAGATTCAAATTTAATTAACCCACTTGGGAAACAGAACGGGTTTAATTTCTCATAAAATTTTACGGGTTACGGGTCGGGTTGCAATTTTACCAAATCCATCTCAAGTCGGGCCCACCCGATACCAAAATCCAATCAGGCTTTTTCTTTGACTTGTCAGCTGTCCACAAGCGTTTCAGTTCTTGCTCTTCCTTCTTTTCAAACTACCCTTTTCTTTTTATTCTCCCTGACGCAAAAACATTTCTCCCTCTCTTTTTTTTCTCTTCTCTCTCTCTCTCTCCTGGTAATTGAATCGTGCTTTCAATTCAATGGTAAAAGAGGGAGAGGAAAGAGAGATGAGTGTGTTCTTTGATGGAATAATCGAAGCCATGCCTCTGTTTGCTAAGGAATTGGTTGCTGGGGGTGTGGCTGGAGGCCTTGCCAAGACTGCTGTTGCTCCGCTTGAGCGTGTCAAGATTTTGTTTCAGGTATCTTTTTGACTTCATTCTGCTTCTATAATTCAAGATTCTATTTTATCTACTCCTTAACTATTGATTCAAATTTTACGATCGGCTCTCCTTGAAAATGGATAATGAGAATATGGGAATTTAATTCAGTTGCCTCTTCTTTCCACATTCTTTATCGGTTGCAAGTCGTTGCTTGCAATTTGGGTATTTCTAGTATATACTCATATGAGTTGAAGCAATCATCTCGAAGAGTGAATGTGAGTATTCCAGTGTATAATTTGGGTAAAGGTTGATCAATCACGAAACAGATTTCCATTCTGTTTTTTGTTGGCGATATTTAGCTTCTGTGGTGTCAGCATTTTCTTATTTAATAATTCTTGAAAACAGCAATGTCTCAAGTATTTTTGCATAAATGATAATTGGAAGCTCAACTGATTGCTGCGCAACTAACGAGCGTTGCTCATTAGCAGCCAACTTAATTTGCTCTGTAGATCACCTTCTCATTTTAATAAACAGTACCCTTTTACATGGACTTGTGACCCCCTATATTTGGATTCATGATTCTGTCCAGTGTCTACAGTTCAACTATATTCAGTTATTCAGGCTTAGGACCATGTTTTACATGGCCTAGTGACCCATATATCACAGAGGTTGTTTAATATCTGCAGTATGAACAAAACTTAACTCCCAAACTGAGTTGGTTACTTTCTGATACTGCACAGACATGACCTCCAAACCTTGTTAAGCCTTCATTTCCTTTTTCCATTTCTTTATATTTTCTGGAAAGAACATTGAGTTCGATGCGATTGATGTAGACGAAACACATTTTTTCAACTGCTTATTGTTACGTTAGCCGCCTGTTTTCTTTGTGGTATGAACTTATTTAATAAAAGACCAAAATTACTTCAACAAAACCATCTTTAAAACAAGACAAATTTTCATAGTAGGAGAAATGGCCCAAATCCTTCTCCTGTGACTTACAAAAGAATAATGTTATTAGTGTTACTAGGGCTGATTGTGAATGGTCCAGCCATGTCGCTAATGTATCTATCAGAATCCCGGTCAGTGGAACAATCAGTTAAAGGTGTGCAGCATATTGTGTGTAGTATGTCTCCTCATCTTGGGAAACGACAGTGTTATTCTCTTACAGTATGAATTCAGTTAATGCTCAAATCAAATTTCTTCATCTTCTAATAGAACTGAACTAATATTGGATAGGAAAAATGCATTTAGGAAAAAGTTCGACCAAAATGACATAGAACAAAAATTTCTTTTCGTAAAAGGTTTACCTGTAGGGATATCCATTGGATGAAATTCATTCTGTCATATAATGATGTTTGTTCATCAAATATCAATGCATATGAAGTGTATAGGTCTACATAGAGGTGATAATAGATTTATGTCTTTTTCAGAAGAGAAGATTTATGTATGGGGATAACATCAGGCTGCAGTTGTCAAACATTCTGCATAAGATATTGGAAGTATTACATCAATGATGTAGAACAAAAAGATCTTAAATCGAAATAACTTTTCTATTAAAGAAAATTTCTATAATTTTTATTATCATTGTTTAGGTTGTTTGATTTATTTAACTTTAGATTTTAAATTATTGGAAACTTTGGTTATTTAGGTTGATCTTAAGTTATAGAAACTTTTGATTTCTTCTTTAATTATTTTGATATATCCCTTATTTCTTTTAGAAGAAAAAATTGATGAATTTCTTATTAGTTGTAACTAATGCCTTATAAAGGCTAATAGCTAAAATAAGAATGGACGATGATGAATTAAAACTTTCCTGCTAGGATTTTATTCCTGTTATTTTTCTGTGCTTTTATGGTTATTGTCCCATTTAGTCTATTTCTTTTATATTTCTTCAACTTGATTCCCAGTTTCCTCTGGCTTATCTTTACTCTTCTCTTTTCATGTAAATTTTCTCTGCACCTAAATTATTTAGGGGACAAGTTAATTTAACCGCTACTCATCAAATATGAGACTTTAACAGTTATCCTAACTATCTGGCAAAATTTACTACTTAAAAAAAGATGAGTTCTTCATACCAGCTAGTCCAACAAAAAAGAGGACCTTCATGCAAAAAGAAATCCTTTTTTAACGAACAAAAAACCTTAAAAGATGAAAAAAATTCCAAGCAGCTACATGCCTAGACTGTTGTCTAGACGAAACAATATCTAAATAGCCACATGCTTAGACTGTTGTCTACACTCATCACTAGCCAACATTTGGAGGTGGTTGACACCACTTACAGAATTAGCTTTAGAGAGTCTTGAGTAGCTTCCCCGCCATTTTTTAGCCGATGATTCCGCTTGGAAAACATTTCACTAATTGTTGAAAGAGAGGACCATTACTATCCTACAAGATCTTTGCTTCCAAGCTATCATAGTAGAACCAATCGAAAATAATTTTTATCTGATTTAAATTTTCTTGTAGAATATACCATAATTATTTGACCTTCGCAAATAGGTCAAATATATACTCGATACCCAATTGAATGATTCTGAAGTTATGGTAGAAAACATGATTCTGCATTCTCCGTTGGACTTTAACATGATTCTGCATGCTCCATTGGATTTCTATACACTCTCCTTCGCTAGTCACCTTCTGACCATTAGCCAGGGCCTATGGTGCACCACTTTATTTTGAAACCCTTTAGTCACATAGGAGTCCATAAATGAATGTGAACTACCACTGTTCAGGAGGATCATGATTGTTTTTTTGTTGAATAGGCCTCTGATTCTTACTGTTTCACCTAAGGAGATACCTTCAATAACTTGTAATGAGAGGATTCCAGAGTCATCCCTGTTTTCTTGCTGATATAACTCCTGATTTTCTTCGTTCTCATCTTTTTCCTCCTCACATTCTTCTACTGGCATAACTTTTTTCAACTTACATTTATAGGCTGTGAAGTATCTTCTTCCACAATGGTTACAAAAACTGTTTCGTTCGCCTTCTGGTGGGTATTGGGAAGCCCCTTTCTGTACTTTTGAATGAAAATTTATTTTTGGGTGTTTATTATGATTGATAGCAGGCAAGGGTGTCTTTGGACTGAATGGTGGATGCAGTGATCTTAGGTTGGAGGTTGGGTTGTTTTGTGTGTTAGTTACCTTGTTGCAGTTCATGGCATCTGCTACTTGTTCTTGCCACGGGACTAATTCAAAGGCATGGTATGAAGTTCAAGGTTTATGCATCCTCATCACAGGTTTCTTCCTTCAACCCACTAATAAAACTGGGTATAAAGTATCTCTCTGATAATCCTGGGTTTTCTGAAAGTAAGAGTTCAAACTTTTCTTGGTTGATCATTTTATCCTCTTGTATAAGTTTATTAAATTATTCCTCTACATGAGTTCCTGTTAACCCCTCAAACCTCTTTCACAGTTCCTCTACAAATATATATTAATCTAATATTTTTGGTGAATTGTGAATTAATGAAACCATTATTCCACCTTATCTCCTACATGGCTGCTGTTTTTTCCCTATTTCATCAGATATCTTATACACATTAAAGTATTCCAAACACCTTTTTATCTAGTCCTAGAGTTCTATCCCTTGAAGATGGGAGTTTACACCTTTTGTGTAGGGTTTCCCGATGGTGATTCCGTGGGTTTTGCATGCAACTACCCCCAGTGTCTTGCTACTTTGGGATGGGGAGTATACCCCGCTCATGAGCTGAACATTAGAAAAATGACTTTACATGCAGTGATGACTCACCCAGCCTGACTCCACCTTGCAATATCTCTGCAAGTTGCTCAAACCATTGGTCGAGGAACTCCTTGGTTTGACAATGTGCATCATAAATCTCAGCCATGAAGTCACAGAGCTTCTGGTCAACCTTTCTTACATTGTCTTCAAGAGTCTGCAGTTTCCACGGTTCGTTAATCACCACTTTCCCTTTGCTTTTCACCATGGCAGCAAGTTTCTCGTCAGAATCACTCTGCTAGAATACCAAGTTGCAGGTACTTTTGACATGTACCCGGTGACTGTTACTTAGAGTAGTAAAAGAGTTAGTTAGATCGAAGAGAAGAGGGAGAGGGAGAGAGAGATAGAATAAGGAAGAAGAAAAGATTTGATCTAGAGATCCACTTAGTATTGAGACTTATCATGCTTAGATAGAATAATATAGAGTAATTTAAAACCTAAGGAAGTTAGAATTGTTTTGAATACTACCTAAAAACACTCCATGGAAACAGAGCGACGGGGGAAGAAACCCTTGTTGCTCAACACCCAAAATGACCTTTTATCTTTGAGACCCTTTCTTCTAACCCTAACCCACTTTAAATAGCTACCCTGGATTTTGCCACATTACCCCCATCCTTCACCAATTGAAGCCACATATTTCACTTACTCCCTACTTAAGCCGATTGTCGAGCTTTGCCCCCATTTACACCTGATTGTGCCACGAGTTGCCAGCTATTCTCCGCTTGTAAAGCAGCACCTACTTTTGTTCCTTGCTTTCAGTTCCATTTCCAATTTCGGGAGCTCGCCTCTGTTGCCTGCCCTTGTTCTATTTTCCTCCCGATGAGCTCGTTCTGTAACAATCATATTCCCTATTTCTCTCTCTTGTGTTTGTTCTTCTGGTTGTTATTCTCTTTTATCTATCCTGCTTATTCTACGTATTTCTATATTTCTTCACCTTCATCCCTAATTTCTTTACATTGTAGGACAATTTTGGTTCTGCCATAACTTGTCCTATATTAGTTGGTACCAGAGCCTAATTTCTATTCTTACTTCTGCACTTTCTTAGACTGCCAAAAAAGCAACAAAAAAAAAAACACAATTTTTTTCGTCCCATCAGATTGGTCAAATGGGTACCTTACAATCACTTTCAGAGTAGATCAACATTAGCTCGACATGAAATCCAGTAATCTTTTTGTTATAATTTATAATGTAATCTACCTGATTACATATGATGTTGAACCAAGTTGTTGGTCCCTATGGATGCATAGAGAGTATTGAAATACATTCACAATTAATTGCTATGCAATATCATTGTAGTGAAGATGTTATCTAGAAACTCTCTCAATGGTCGTTGCATATATGATAGTTGTTGTCAGTTAAATATTGAATATGAAATAGATTTATATTCAGAAGTTAGGAAAGCCTGAGATCATTTGCACTAATTAAAGGCTGAGCTTCAGAGTATTACTAACACTTCTCAAGTATTTTAAGATGGAGAACGTAAAATTCCTTCAGAACCAATAGTAGCAGTAAGATATATTTGCTCCATTTAAAGTTGTTCGTATTCATGCTATTGAAATTGTTCTTAAACTTATTCTATCTCCTGCTATTGAAATTGTTCTCATCCACAATGACTGTATTGAAGAGATTTATTGGGATATTTTCATTTTACCTTAATGGTTTTATGATCCCAAAGAACTCATGATTTTAGTTAAGTTTAACTTCTCTGTAGAGATCATCAAAAGTCAGCTTTTTCAAGATTTTGAAAAGCATGTTTGAGCCTTTCCTATCTTATGCTCCACCACTCCAAAACTCGAGATCAGGTTTTCACCAAAAGAAGGTAGAATGATGCAGAACAAGTATATCTTAATTTGGAATAAATTTTCTATTAAATAAATCTTTTGTAATTATTATTATCTTGTCTTCTTAAGTTAAATAGGTTTATTTAGACATAAAGTATTTTAGTTTTCTTTTAGGTAGATTTTAAATATTATAGGAATTAGAATATTTTAAATTTCCTCTTTTAGAATTTTCCTTTTTAATTGACGAACTATGATATTTAGTTTCTTTTTTGGTGGATTTTTAAATATTATAGGAACTATAATTTTTTAAATTCTCATTTTTTATAATTTTCTTTACTAGTTGTAAGCAATGCCTATATAATAACTAGTAGCTACCAAGAAAGAAGAGAAGACAATGATGAAATGAGAATTCCTTTATTGAGCTTTCATTCCCTATTATAGGTGTGTCCTTATGGTTATTATTCTCTCTAATCTATCCTACTCATTTTACCTGTCCCTACATTTTTTCACCTTGCCCTTAATTCTTATAGCCTACCTTTATTCTTCTATTCTGTTTCCCATACTTTATTTTTGTCACTTTGTAGGATAATTCTGATTCTACCATAACTTGTCTTACAACAGCATATCTTGCTTTTTGCCCTAATTACATGAATTTAATTATAATCAAAAGGTCAAGAGAGACCAAATATGGGTTTGAGCTGCAACCCCCCCCCCCCAACTTTTGATCTCAACTTTAATCAATTGTTGTTTGTATTGAGGAATTTATTTGTTGCTTTTTTTTAGACCAGAAGAGCAGAATTCCAGAGCATAGGGCTCTTTGGATCCATTAAAAAGATAGCCAAGACAGAAGGTGCCATGGGTTTCTACAGGTGCGTGTGGAACTTTCATTCATTGTCATTTATTTGAAGGCTTCCCTGAAAATTTTATCACTTAATTACTTTAAGAATTTGTCTTTTCAATAGAGGCAATGGTGCCAGTGTTGCTCGAATAGTTCCCTATGCCGCACTTCATTATATGGCTTATGAGCAATATCGTAGATGGATTATCAATAGTTTTCCTGATATCGGAAGAGGTCCTGTGCTTGATCTAGTGGCAGGATCATTTGCTGGAGGAACTGCTGTGATTTTTACTTACCCTCTTGATTTAGTCCGGACAAAATTAGCTTATCAGGTAAATATTTCAATGATAAATACATGCTTTCATAAAAAGAAAGAAAACTGAACTGAATTGAAAATGCTGATCCAGGTTGTTAGTTCATCAAAGATGAACGTTCAAGGGATAGTTAGCACTGAACAGATTTACAAGGGAATTCTTGATTGTTTTTCAAAGACCTATAAGGAATCTGGGATAAGAGGTCTCTACCGAGGTGCAGGTATTTGTTTTTGGACTCGGAGCTGTTTCCCTTGGTTCTTTTGATCATTTGAGTTTTTCTTTTCCAATTAATACATGGAAATTCTCATCAGCTCCATCACTTTATGGAATTTTCCCTTATGCTGGTTTAAAGTTCTATTTCTATGAGGAGATGAAGAGGCATGTTCCTGAGGAGCACAAGAAAGATATTACCGTGAAACTTGTATGTGGATCTGTTGCAGGTCTACTGGGGCAGACCTTCACATACCCTCTTGATGTTGTTAGGAGGCAAATGCAGGTATTTTACTTCTAAGGTCCTGGTCTCCACTGTATTGTTAGATTTAGAATTAAAACCTCTATAGTATTGAGTGATAACCATGCAATAGGTTGAAAGGCTGGTGTCTAATAGTGGAGAGTCAAGAGGAACAATGGAAACCCTTCTCAGGATTGCTCGAAAGCAAGGAGGGAAGCAATTGTTTTCAGGGCTGAGCATCAATTACTTGAAGGTGAGAAACAGTTTATTTTCTGTTCTTTTCTGATATTTGATTGTCGCTAAATATCTCTTGCTTTGCACAAGCCAGGTTGTACCATCAGTAGCTATTGGCTTCACTGTTTATGATGTTGTGAAATCATACCTTAGAGTTCCATCAAGAGATGAAGCTGTGATAGAAGTGACAGCCAACAAAGCAAGTAGTCAACCAACATCACTTCACTCTTAATAATGAAATATTCCATTTCAAGCAAAGCATTTTCAGGCAGGAGGGTTGGCTTGTGAATTCTGATTTTTGAATAAACCTGTATCTTGCAGTTAATTCTCATTAGTACATTCCATTCTTTTAAGCAGAATGACATCAACCGTGTTAGTGAAATATGTCCAAATTCCAAATAAATTTGTACAGGTTATATCTTTAACAGTTAGCAAATTTTAGTGATTAGGCATCTGGGTCAAAACCCACGTGGTAAATGTATATGTGTAAATAATAGTCTTACCATAGAAACTGATTACTTGGAGATATGTAACTCTTCCAAACTCCAGTTTATTGATGTAGCTATCAGATCAACTTTAATTACATCTTGGCTCTGGTTCTCCCACTTTATTGGTATTCTATTCAATAGAAGACAATTTTACATATAAAGTAATGAAAGGTTACAGAATAAAATGAAAATATAATAAAAATGGCATCCAATATGTAATTGAACTATCCACTGCCAACATAATCATTTTACTTTCTCCAGTTGGTTATTCAATATAGAATATTTACAGGGACGAAGAACTGATGTAAGGTAGACAAATTAGTTAGGCTTGCTTCCTCCCGAGTCTAAATATAAATATGCAAAATTGTTATTCCATATTCTTTTGCCAGGCTAGAGATGCAGAAATATATAACTATTCATTTTTATTGCAACTGAATAAATATCAAGAATTTGGACTGGCATAAAAAACATAATGTGCAATGTAAAGCATTGGTACAAGTATCTTCCCTGTCATAGATCTTGGGTATCTCTAGTCTACCAGTAATCCCCACAAGAGCATTTGCCATCCCTGAAATGATGAAACCGCTTGTTGTCCCTAACAATGAGCTCCCTTCCAACAATCTTTGACATGATCTTTATTGCATTATGACAGTCACCGCATATTCTGAGGTTCTTGATGATCCTAAGCGTTGTTCTTGCCGGAGTGCTAATTAGACCATAAGCTATCGCCAGACGCTCGCTATGGTATTGCAAAGCTTGCTCTTTTGCTTCTTCATCTATGTCATGAAGTACATATCTGGTGTCTGGCACATAACCAGCTTCCCTCATCTGTCCATTTAAACCTTTCAATTTACCATACCCTTCTTCCTTGTAGGACTTCATGCACCTATACTCACTCAATCTGTTCTTCTCCTCAACCATATTAATACCTGAATTCTTCTTCCGCGGTGGCAGTGGAACTTGTTTAGCAGCTCCCTTGGACGGATCAAGGCTAATTAACAACTCATGAGCATGATCTTCAAGCTCAATATCACCATGAATTCGAGCAAACTTCCACAGAGCATCCCACAAATCCACTGTGGGTTCAAATGGAACTCTTTCTACAAACTCCTGAGCCTCCCTCAAATGACCAGCTCTTCCAAGAACTTCAATGACACGCAAGTAATGTTCAATCCCCAGTACAAACCCACTGGTATTCTTCATGAAGTCGAAGTGTAATAGAGCTTCTTCCACAGCTCCAGCATCAGCACACGCAGCCAAAACTGCAGAAAAAGTTTCCTCATCAGGCCGCAATCCTTGTTTCTTCATTTGCTCAAACAATAACAACCCTTCATCTCCCTCTCCGTTCTCCGCATACCCATTAACCATCAAACACCACGAACCCGTATTTCTCTCGCGCATTTGATCGAACGTCCGGCGGGCATCTTTCATGCTCCCGCACTTGACGTATGCATCAATCAATTTATTGTTCAATACAGTATCGCTGGTTAATGGAGACCGTTTCAACAATTCGTGAACTCGTTTACACAACTCCAGAGATTTAAGCTCACCGCATGAATGCAATAAAGCACCAAAGGCACAAAGATCAGCAGAAACCCCTCGTTCCACATATTCTATGACTTCCTCCAACCTTCCTTCCTTGCACAAACTTACCAAATCGATATCAAGATTCATTAACGTTGGGTCTTGACGAAATCGGTCGCTCTCATTTTGATTTTTTCTTAAGCTAACTTCATCCGAGGAGGAACGCCGCTGTTTCCTCTTGTAAGGTGAAGTAGACCGAGAATCCCGGCGAGTCTGGCTAGAATGGGACCGGTAAACAGTATTCGCGTCGTTGCTGTTATTATTTCTGGTATTAGGAAAGGCGTAGAGACCCTTGAAAGTGTTGGTGGTCAGAGTTGCAGAGAACGAAGACGAAAACGGGAGAGAAGAAAAAGAGTGAGGAAAGCTGGTACGAGATTTCAACTGAGGAGAGAGTATCACTGAGTTTCCCGCTGGGTGAGGAGAGATCAGAGACGCCATTGCTAACTGCTGTAAATCAATAGATGTAATTGGGATTCTGTACAAGAACAGAAGATGGAACAGGAAGGTGAAAAATGGCGCATCTGGAAGTTTATCGAAAATGATTTCCTGCTCCAGAGTTCGCTCGTATCTGATTGGTCAATCCACATTTATACTCAAATTTTTAAAAATGGAAATATTTTTATTCATAACAATAAATATTCAAAGCAATCTGATATATTTAGTAAAAAATAATATTTGACATTTTAAATATAAATTCCGATTAAAAGTTAAAAAGTCATCGTTTAAACGTTTTTGAATTGTAATATTTGTATTAAAATTTATTAAAAAGTAAATTTTAATTTTAATTTATAATTCATAAAATATTTTTTAAAACATAAAAATTGAAGTTAAAAACGAAATATTTCTTTTTAAAAAAAAAAAAAAAAGAAACTAATTAACTTACTTTTTATCAGACTTGAAATCTGGACGATGCTGCAGGAGAAAAGAAAAGAACTAATCTTTTGTTCAATTTTATTAAAAATAAAAAATAAAAAGATAAGATAGTAACTTTAATTACATAAAATAAAAATAAAATATATCCCTTCTGGAAAAATGTCAAAGACTTTACTTTAATTTAAGAGTACATTTAAACATTAAGAAGATAAAAAAAAATACAAGTAATTAACAATTACGTAGTTTAAGAATTGAAATATTAAATTAGTTTTTGTATTATTTTAAAAAATTTAAATTAATTTATATAATATTTTTTTATATAATTTTAATCTCTTTAAAAATTTTGTGATTTAGTTCCCAACCATTGATCCACACTACCAGTTAATGCAAGCATCACACTAATATTTTTGGATTGATAAATCTACTAATATCATATGCCCCCCTGACATCTGAATTAGAAAATTTAGAGAATCAGAAATAGTCAAGAAAGTGATTCACTTTCTCTAGTGAAATTCTATACAGCCTCCGTATTATCTGTATGCTTGAAAATTGTTAAGGGGAATAAGTTCCCCATCAATACAATGATCGCAGGCGACAAGTTCATGGCTCAATTCATAGACAGAAGCAAAGCAATCAGCAACAAAGTGAAATAATTTTACGCCAATGATAGAAACATTCAGT